ACCTAGCCAGGAGGTATATCTCGCCTGCAGAGATTGATTACGAGGTGGTGAACGAGTCATCTGAGTTTCGGCATCTCAGATGCAAGGTTTTCTCTCAGCCATATCTCTTTATACTGTGGGAGGAATTTTTGCTATGGTTGGTTTCCGTATCATGAAACTTGGATGAAAGTGTTGAGAGCTTGCAGGTTTTATGTGGCTCTATATTCAGAGGTCACAACCTCAAAGAGTACGGGTACGTGGCTGAAAGCACAGGAAACGGCCAAATGAGAAATTATGCATGTTGCCTAGAGGGATGAGTGAGGACTCATGACCAGTGTCAGCCTAGCCCTTTCATCTGTGCTTTCTGAGATTACTATGAGTTCTCATTCTTCCCTCATTTATTATTGTCTCTGACTTGAGTCAGTCGGTCTCACTTATTTGCATTGACTCTGCTTGATGATTGTATTCTCTGGTGATCCTGTCACAGTTCTCAAGCTAGCAAATTAGCAAAATCGATACATGCATGGCACACCAGAATTTATGACTAGCATTTGCATAATCTTTACTGTTCCGAATCAAAATAAAAGATTCCTAAGACCGGGGACCGGCGAAGACTGCAATTGAAGGGTCTAGCTCGAAGCCCGACGCACTCATCAAAAAGGGATCTCCTGTATTTAATTTATTTATTTGTTGCACCCTGTTGGCTTTCTGGTCGCCCGAAGTGGCCCGACTAGAAAAGTGCAACACCGCGTGGCTATGACCACAATCCCTAAAGTAGGTGAACAATGACAGTGACCTCTAGGGAGGGCGGTGGTGAGTGCCATGGAGAAATGGTGGGCCGGCGTAATGTATGACGTGGACCACTTCGGCCATAGACAAAGATATATAGATTTATATATATATGTATATATATATATATATATATATATATATATATATATATATATATATATATATATAGAGAGAGAGAGAGAGAGAGAGAGAGAGAGAGAGAGNTATATATATATATATATATATATATATATATATATATATATATATAGAGAGAGAGAGAGAGAGAGAGAGAGAGAGAGAGAGAGAGAGAGAGAGATGGCATTCGTGAGCAATGGCGATGGCCGCGACGAAGTTCACCGGGCATGTGCATGCAGGAAGGTGGCGGGGGCCTGGGGAAGGAGGGTCAAGGACGTCGAGCACGCTTTGGGACGAGCGACGACCAGCATGCACTGTGGGCCCGCACGTCCCTGTGAACCGTTCCCACCCATGCGGAGTTTTTTTCCCCGTCTGTACGACCGGTTTTTCCATGGGGTCAGCTTTTCCATATGACGGCGAGTGTCCAAGAGCAGACCTGTAGTAACGGTTTGTCTGAGGAGCGGGCTCACAGGGTCTGGATCCATTTGTTTTTCTTTTTCCCAAAGTCGAAGGCCGACCCTGCCCCGAGGCCCTAAAGAATGCGGTATAGGTATCCATAATGTACGGTCCGCATCTGCCCCAAGTATTGCCGACTGGCCCAATGGTGTGCCTTTCTTTCCCGGTTTCATTTGGGAGTTTTCTGCACGCAGTGTGGCAATGGTTTCAACACATCCCTCCATTCATGGATACAAGTACACAGCAGGATGAACAGGAGGAGGACAGCAGAGCAGAAGGAGCTGACCAGCAAGGAGGGGAACACATGAGCGGGACGGAGACGAGGTGGAGACAACGGAAAGGGGCGAGGGGGAGGGGGAAGAGCAGGTCTCCGCCTCGTGTGTAGCCGCAGCAGGCATCTGTGTGTTAAGCATATGAATCTCGAAGTTTTTTATGCGGAGATGCAGTAAAGCGACATCAATCGCCATTTTTTGTTTCTATCAAACAGCATGTCCAAATTTAAGCATTACAATGCTCTTTGCCAGCGGGATGTTGCCACTAATCTTATCACCACAAACAAAAAGAAAACGAGAGGAAGTTAAGAAACAGAAAGGAGGAGACCTACGATGTATATCAACTTTCGTTGTTGGGGGGGAACACCGTTGAGGTGGAGGAACGCAGTAGGACAGGTGTCTTGGGGATCTTTCTGAAGTCTAGAACCTTGTGACCGCCGTCTTTCACTGAGCACAACACACCCTTTCTTTTTTTTGAAATAGCAGGCTGAGGCCTCGTTCGTTAACGGAATCAACCCGACAAACACTTCACCAACTAAAAACGGCCATGCACCACCACCCTTCGAATCCAGAAAGAGCTCTCAATCTGTCAATCCTTGCTGTGTCTGGACCCGGTGAGTTTAATTACAACAATATATCCCCGTCATGATGAACCTTGAGAAGGCTACCCACTGTACCCAGGCCTTTCGATCCAGGCAAGCGACTCGTAGGACTCGTCACTCACGCTTACTAGACATTCCTCATTTAAGATCGATAGTGTAGTGCGCGTGCCATCCCAGACCTGTTATTGTGTCAAACTTCTATTGGCTAGTCGTCCAACAGTCCCTCTAAGAATCTGGCTACGAGCAAAGGTCCCCGTGTAGCTATTGAACACAACGTATGGAAGTGTATTTAAAAACAGCTAGTGTGTTGTCCACTTTGTTTGCCCTCCAGTCTTTTCCTGTGTCCAACAGAGTTCCTGCAAGATGTGCCAAGAACTCAGTGCCTGTTTGTACGGTGTGCTGGACAACACTATTAGGGGGCTGCTGTGTTCGGGATGACTGTGTGTTTGTGTGTTCCCGGGCGATGACAGACATTCGTCCAAGCGCCTCCCTGGCTCCCAGGGTGATGTGGACCTACAATTGCAGAGTTCTACATGCGATGCGAGTAGTAGCTTTTGGTCTGTGTTGGGTGCGTGAACTGCCTTGTCAATGCCGCGCCGCTGCCTTGGCTGCCCATCTGCCCGCCTTGTCTTTCCATGCAGCTCACCTGTTTTGCATTGTGTTCTGCCTTCCCACTCTGCTGTTTCGCTTACTGCTCCCTTCTTTGCCTTTCTCATCTCCTTCTGCCCATAATCTGCCCTCATGTCCTGCTGCCTGCCCTGCTGCCGCTTTTGGCAGCCCATCCGTCCTGTGCTGTACTGTTTGCCCCACTGCATGGCTACCTACCTCCTCGTAATGTGTTGCCTTGCTGCTCGCCCGCTTACCTTTTCACTTCCTTGCCAATTGACTTTGCTGCTTGCCTGCCTACATGCGCCCAGCCAGCCACCCTGCGGTGTACTGTTGCTCAGTTGCCCCGCTGCCTGGCTTTCGACCTCCTTGCATTGCGTTGCCTTACTGCTAGCCCACT